ACACGCGTGTCCTTTATTTTGTACATCAGGAAGGGGGGCTAGGGAGGGGTAAGTGGAAGGAGGTGAGGGAGGAATCGGGTACGAGCCCCCGATGGGGAGGACTGGGCTGGCTCTGTGGGCTCCTCAGGGAGGAAGCTCTCCTGAAGCCCCTTGATTGACCCCCCTTGGGGCTGCCAGCCTGCGGCAAGTGCAGCCTGGCTGATGGCCGAGTGCTGTGATGTGCCGAGTGTGGGCACTCAGGGCACTCCAAGCCAGCATTGCTTTGCAAGCAGGGAACCCCTGAGAACTGTCTGTCCGGGGTGGGAGTCAGGTCCCTTTAAGCACAGCCCTCGGCTGGCCTGAGGCAGCAGCTCCACACTCCCCCTTGGGGCTGCCAGCCTGCGGCAAGTGCAGCCTGGCTGATGGCCGAGTGCTGTGATGTGCCGAGTGTGGGCACTCAGGGCACTCCAAGCCAGCATTGCTTTGCAAGCAGGGAACCCCTGAGAACTGTCTGTCCGGGGTGGGAGTCAGGTCCCTTTAAGCACAGCCCTCGGCTGGCCTGAGGCAGCAGCTCCACACTCTAAATCCTAATCTGATGCTCTGCCGGCACTGCTTCTGGCCAGCCTTAACTTTGGTTCAGGGTCCACTCAGTGTGGACATGCTAGTTTGAATTAGCAAAATGCTAATTCAAACTAGTTTTTAGGTCTAGATGCACTAGTTCGAATTAGCTTAGTTTGAATTAACTAATTCGAACTAAGTTAGTTCGAATTAGCGCTGTAGTGTAGACATACCCAGACTGAATACAGGCACTGGGTTTATGGCTTATAACAACAATCTGTAACCTATGTCAACTTCACCCTCAGCTTTTGTGTTTTTCCCTTTCTTCCCCTATGACCAGAGGGGTGTTAATGGTTCACTTCACCTTGAATGGTCCCCTTAAGTAAGTTTGCTTAACATAACAAGTTCCACTTTGTAATCAGCTGTGCAACCCTGGATATTTCTACTGGGGAATGTGCTCAGAGACCATGTCTATACTGCAATTGAACATGTGCGGCTAGCCCATGTCAGCTGGCTTGGGCTGGTGCAGCTCAAGTCTATGGTATGGGACAGTTTAATTGCAATGTAGACTTTCATACTTAGTTTGGAACTCTGATTCTTGGATCCTCCAGCTGTTCAGGGTCCCAGAGTCTGGGCAAGTCCAGCATCAGTACCACAGTTAAACAGCTACATCATCCAAGCCCTGTGAGCCTGAATCACCTGACATTGGCCAGCAGCAGGTGTTTAAATGCAGTGGAGACACATTCTGATCACATTTCCCAGACCTGAAGAAGAATGGTGTGTACGTCTAACAGCTTGTCTCTCTCTCCAACAGAAATTGGTCTAATAAAAATTATTCACCCACCTTATCCCACTTCTAGACAAGACAGCCCAGGGAAGTATTATCCCCATTTTACAGATGGTGAACAGAGCCACAAATATCTTAAGTTAGATCGATTCAATCTAGTGCTTAAGCAGATGCTTGATGCAAAGCCAATGGGAATTAAGAACTAAAGGAAGGATTTAAGCACATTCTTATATGCTTTGATGAACTGGGGCCAAAGTGACTTGCAAAAGTCATACTGAAGGTGGGCTTTTCTTTTGTTTTTTACCTCATGATAAGTAAAATCCTTTGTCTTAGCCAAAGTCAGTCATGTATGAGAACACAATGGGTACGTCTACACTACATGCCTCTGTCGGCAGAGGCATGTAGATTTGTTTGTTCGGCAAAGGTAAATGAAGCCGCAATTTAAATGATCGCGGCTTCATTTACATTTACATGGCTGCCGCGCTGAGCCGACAAACAGCTGATCAGCTGTTTGTCGGCTCATCGCTAGTCTGGACGTTTCCCCTGTCGACATCAAAGCCCTTTGTCGGCAGCCCCGTTATTCCTCGTGGAATGAGGTTTACTGGGGCTGCCGACAAAGGGCTTTGATGTCGACAGGGGGAACGTCCAGACTAGCGGCGAGCCGACAGCGAGCAGCGAGCTGAACTGATCAGCTGTTTGTCGGCTCAGCGCGGCAGCCATGTAAATGTAAATGAAGCCGCGATCATTTAAATCGCGGCTTCATTTACCTTTGCCTACAACCCAAATCTACATGCCTCTGCCGACAGAGGCATGTAGTGTAGACACAGCCAATGGGTTGATCTCAGTGAGCTTATCTCATGCTAAAGCTGAAGTGCCTTGTCATCACTGTGTTTTTAACAAAGGAGAGCTCAGAAAGTTAACACAAAATAAAAAAACTTTTTTTTTTTAAGATGTGAAGATAAGTCCCCATTTCAATTAATTTGGAAATTTGGCTAAACAAACCCTTACCATTAGGAAAATTTTACCTTTTTTATCACCAAGGCAAATTTTTCAATAAAGGAATGAAGGCTGGATTCTAAACTAAATGACAAACTTCCTCAGAGGTTTGCCTCAAACTTGTGTGGAATGTGTATTATAGATATATTATTAAGACTTAAAAAAGACAGCAAATACCACCTCTGTAATAGCTGGCATAACAGAGAAAGCACAAAAGACAAGAAGTGTGCAGAACCTACATATAAACTCAAATGCTCTAATATGTGACTTGGTTTAACTTATCTAATAGACTAGTATACCACATATTATAATAGATTACTTGTTGTTATTAAAGAGACCAAAATAAAGTCCCTTTAAAAATTCTATACATGAAAGAAACAAAGAAAGAGTTCCCTCTACAAATATGGAATAATAATAGAGGTTAGCATAAGAACATTTTTCCTGGCACCTTTAATGGGATGAGTGATTGCATTAATTTCTTTCTTTTACCTTTTAGGAAAGACTGGAATTCTCTGCCCTTATCTTCATTGATTTTGCCTTCCAGAGAGGAGAGTATCTTGCTCACATCACTCATGGTAGCAGAAATGTTGTCAACCTTCTTCTGTAGAAAAGTCAGTTTCATTTCTTGGCTGCTAATCTGCTCATTCATTTTTTGTGTAACTGCTCGGTGGGAGAATAGAACAGAAAAGAAGCTTTATTAAATCACAGGGGAAAGAGGAAGTGGAAGAAACATTAGATGAAAGAAAAGTGCAACATTTCTGAGTTACAATTCATGAGTGAATCATCTTATTTTTTCCCTAGATCATGTATCAGTAATATTCAGGACCACAGTAACTAATTACTGAAGCATCCTATATCCATTATCCACTGTCCATGTGCTTATAATTATAGAAGAGCACTTTGAATGGTTAACTTAATCTTAATCAGCATAATTTCAGTCTTCTCCTACCTCACACCCAGGGGAAGATTCAGTTACTACTATCTCATTAATTCTCTGTCCCCTACTAGCATCACAAAGATATTTATTTTCACTTATCATTTACAAATCAATAAACACATGTAGTTTCAATGTTTCAATATAAAGAAGATGTATCCATTTATAGATGATGGGTCAAAAGAAGGAGCCTCTGAACATGGTGGCCAGATCCTTCAAGAATGAGAAATAGAAAAGAAAATAGAAAAATAAAAAACAATAATACAGGCTAGAACCATTATAGTTCTGACACTATCATTCAAAACAGCAAATCATCCAGTCTGGGAAGTTCATTTATTAAAATATCAATCTAAATGGCCCCTCTTTGTATTTGTGGTCTATTCTGATTAGTGGGTATCTGTTTCCAGCTTTTAAATGAGCCTATATAGAAGTAAGGGTTTGGTCCAGCATTACTGGGGCTCTGTGATGGGTTTATACGTATACCTGCATTGAACAACTTTCTGGAATGGGGTTTAAGACTGGATTTTATAAGAGCCTCAGATTGTTATGCACTCAAAATATGAGGAAGTTGGATGCCTAATACCATTAGACTCCTTTGAAAATCCCACCTAAATGACTATGTTAAAATTAGATAAATACAGATTTGTATGTGCTATCCCATATGGACTAAACCACATTTTGACTTAATAAACCATCTTGCAATGGATCCATACAAATACTTATCAGTGGAGACCTATGGTATTAGTACTGATCTTGTGTCACTTTTCATTATGGCCTCAGTGTCTTTTTCCATGGCAGCTAATGTCAGTAATCACAAATATTATGGAAGAGAGGAGGTATAAAGAAGCAGCCTGCAAAGGGGAAGCTCCAGTTATCTGAAGAAGTAGGCTGTGCCCATGAATGCTCATGATTCCATCTCCATGTTTTGTTAGTCTATAAAGTGCTACCAGACTATTTGTTGTTTTTTTAAGTTTATCCTGTACAGACTTACTCAGCTACCCCCTGAAGTTTCTTTCAACTGTGCAGCAATGTAATGGGATGGCAATTCTGCAAAATTCTAGTTTACAGACTTGGAGTATATACCATCTTGTTAGAAATGCATGTCTGTGTCGAAAAGTGACTTTCTTATTTAACACTTTATTATTGAACAGTTCTCCTTACCTGGGTAATCTTAAAGGTATTCTTCTTGGGGTCTGATTATAGTATGAACGGATGTGGGTTTCAGCACAGTGTATACAAGTCCATGCAGGCCCTGGGTTTACTCAGGTGACTAGCCTGGCTGAGAAGCCTGTGCTGCTGGAACTGCAGTGCTGTCACTACCTGTGCTAACTAGAATAAGAGAGGTTGGGTATGTCTATGTGGGCTGCAATTACACCTTCACTGTGGCGTGGACATGTCTTTTGTCAGCTACTGGCCTTGGTGACAGTAATAAGAAATGCTGACTCCTTTCACTCCTGTTTGCACTTCAGGAATGGGAACCCAAGCTGAATTCAATTTTGGCTCATCCATAATTGAGAGAACTGTTAACTATATTACATCTGTAAATTATCTCCTCAGTTATGTTTGTTGATATGACCCTCCCTTCACTGTCCCACATAGTCAATAACATTGCTGAAGTATAATGAGGCAATGGTCTGTAGAAAATGGGACTGCACAGGTATAACTGAGAACAGAATTTGGCATTCAGAATCAGTGTATCTGGTAATGAAGCTTGATGAGATAGGAAGACGTTAGTGTATTATCCCAGAGCTGGCAATCAGAAAAGGCCTTGGTTTACTGGTCAGCTGAGCAAATGTGATCTAAAAAATTGAGTGACCATGCACATGAAACCCTAAGATAGACTCATTATAGAATCATTTTTCAGGGTTGACTTGCACTGTACAAATTTAAGAGTGGAATAAAATAGAGAAGAGGTGTGCATTGACTTGCTTGTTTATTTTTATTGACACAGTAACAAGGGTTTCTTGCATCTCTCCTCTGCTCACCTTTCCTGCTGTCTACATTGTCTTCTAGAGTACGTCTATACTGTGGTGCTATTTTGGGATATTGACGGTATCCTGAAATAGGTATTCCACATCTTTTGAGCAACTTACTATTTTGAAATATAAAGGGCTCTCTATTCTGATGTCCCTGTAAACCTCATTCCACAAGGAATAAGGGACATTTTGGAATAGTGCTCTATTTCAAAATTTGGCACTGTGTAGAGAGCGCCAAATTTCAAATTAAGCTACTCAAATTGCGTAGCTTCTTTTGAACTATGGGTGTAGTATAGGTGCACCCCTATTGAGCTTTTCTTTGTCTTTTCATATCATCTCACCATTATTGGTATGAAAGCCATCTTCTCTGTAGCTCCCATGAGAAAAACATTTGGTGTACATCTGAATAGCAGTCAGTCTCTTGCCTATTCCTTTTAATTTCTCTCTTATTATTATTTAACGGGAGGGCATTCTCCTATCAGAGCAGCATAGCAGGTTTGAATTCTGACATTCCATTCTCCCTATGTGCAATGCTCCCCCAAAAGGCAGAAATAAAAATTAAGGACCTGACTTGTACCTGAAACAAAAGACAGGACTATGCAGCACTTTAAAGACTAACAAGATGGGGGTATGTCTACACTACCACCCTAGTTCGAACTAGGGTGGTAGTGTAGACATACCCTGGTTTATTAGGTGATGAGCTTTCGTGGGCTAGACCCACTTCCTCAGATCAAATTGTGGAAGAAAATTGGCATGACCATATATATATATATATATGGTCATGCCAATTTTCTTCCACAATTTGATCTGAGGAAGTGGGTCTAGCCCACGAAAGCTCATCACCTAATAAACCAGGGTATGTCTACACTACCACCCTAGTTCGAACTAGGGTGGTAGTGTAGACATACCCCCATCTTGTTAGTCTTTAAAGTGCTGCATAGTCCTGTCTTTTGTTTCAGCTAGACCAGACTAACACGACTACATCTCTATTACTATTTGACTTGGACCTGTAACTATTATTTGTCCTGATGCCCTGCCTGAAGTGCTTCTGGGTGCCTTAAATGTGATTCAGCATCCAGTGAGTGTGGATGCTCTATTTCTAAATAGCTCAGTGCTATTTTGACGAGCATTTGTTGTGTAGACGCGCTATTTTGAAATAAACCATTTTGGAGTATTTCCTCTGAAATAGCTTATTTCAAAATAAGCATGATGTGTAGATGTGCCCTCACGTGCCACAGACACCTCATCATTTTTGCACATACAGACAAACATGGCTTCTCCTCCGAATCTCTGTATCTGATATATAAACTTGTTGGCTAATTGGAGTGGTCTGGAAAATCACATTTTATTGGATGGTTTCCTTGGCTATTTGTACAGTGTAGCAAGGGACCTCCTTTATCTTGATGGACTTTGCACTTCCCCCTCTGGCAGGGGCAGGGCCTGAGTTAAATCAGACCCACAGTGTTCGTCTTCCCTTTCTGTATTTTCTTATCAGTACTTTCAAGGTGGACCTCAGGGCAGGTGCAAGGTTCCTCCAGCAAACAAAGAGAAATTATTTTACAAACACAAAACAAGTGGTCGCCTTTTCCCCACCCTTTGCTGGGGTGGTTGTCCTGCTATTGGCTCCTTCCCCTCAGCTTTGGGGGTTCCCCTCATTGGGACAATTGCAGCCTATCTCTCTGCTGCCACTAGCCCTACAGCAGCACATCTGCTAACCAGAGGACTCGTAGGTCCTTAACTGACCTGAGGTAACCCTTCTAATCTTATAGGAAAAAGGGTTGTTATCATTCTTGGTCACCTTTCCATCTGCCTTCCTTCTTGGCACCATGGTCTGCCTTCCATCATGCTCTTGCCACTGCCTAGCCTGACTTTGTCATAACAGGCTACTATGGAATCCATTTCCTGGAACATTTGTGCTAATAAAACTCCAACATGCAATAGCAGTGGAAAATGAATACAAAAGGGACATGACCATATGCACACAACACTTCAAGAAAATAAAACACAGTATCTAGGGGTAAGAGATTAGATAATCTCTGACTTTAGCTGTTTTAATAAAATTACTCTTACTATTGGTAGAATCTGACTTGGCTAGATTCTGCCTACCCGTGCATAGCAAAGAGCCAATCCCTGCCCCAATGCCCTCACAATCTAACTATGAAATGATAGACGAGATGGCTGTAACTAAGATAAGGGAAAAACAGAGTAGCAAAGAGACAATTACGATTAGCACAATAAAATGTGGTTACATCACACTCTATTCAGAGCAGAGCTGTAAAGTATCATTGTATAGCTGACTTATGATTCCATTTAGGAAGATGTTAGTCAAGTTATACCAAACCCTTCTCATCAAATGTTGAACATTGGTGGAAACGCTATTCAACTGATTTAGAATAAAAACATCAGTCTGATAAGAAAATATGCAACAGAAAAAGCTAAATCCTCTGCTGATATAAATCAGCACAACTCCCCTTTCTTCTGTGATGCAGCATTAAGCTAGTCTGCCTGTGGATTTGGCCTAAATATGTATAATTTAAACAAGCAGATTTACCCAGTGCTAACTCAATTAAGAGGGCTTTTTTTTGTAAAATAAAAGGAAACTGTACATGCTTGATTTAGATTATTGTATTTTTCATAAATATATAGTGCTGTTTTTATGAAGTTAATTTTTATTTTAGATTTCTTAAAAAGGGAATTACTAATTTTTGTTATTGAATTTTTTAGTAATTTTTTCTTCATCCCTCTAAACTCTTATCATTCACTATGTTTTAACAATAAAGGGTTATAGTTAATCAGGTTTCCAATAACACTTTCTTCTATTTTTCAAATCTTATGTGCCAAAACAGAGCACCACTTCAAATTTCTCTGTTTTATCTCTTTTCTGTAAGGTTTACTGAGAAGTAATAGTATTCTAGATTCATCCTCTTTTTCTGGCGCCTCTTGTTTCAGTCTTTTTCAACATTTGCTCAGTTATGTCAATTTTGAGAACTGTTCTTGATTTGGTGATTCTGTCTCTTTTTTCTGCTTGGTTTTATGAGAAGCAATGCCATTCCAAACCTTGTTTTTCCAGCACAACCAAACTCTTACCTTGCTTTAAGTTATGGTAAGAGCAAGCTGTATACTGAATCAGATAGACCTAGGTCTATTTATGAGTTGTTCTTGATCAAACAGACAAACTCTCAAAAATAAATGGTGGGTTTCGTTTTTAGTTTGGAGATTGATTCTTTAACTTGCATATTCTGAACTTAGACATTCCGATCCAGCAGATTCAATTCCCTCCATTCAGTATTCTCAGAGTAGCACCCCCAGTGGAACAGGAGTACAAGAAGCAAAATGCAGGACAAGAAGCAAAATGCAGGACAAAATGCAGAAAAATGCTTCAGCTACCCCAGACTAACACGGCTACATTTCTATCACTAGGAGTACAAGAGAATTTGATGCTTCATCCCAAAGCTATCTGCAGCTGGCATTTTCTTTTGTAGTGGCTCTAATAAATAGTGTTGACAATGATTGTGTTAGAGATGACAGTAATTACAACTGCTGACCTGGGTCATTGGGATCCTGCTGGTTTCCTGGTGTCTCCCCATTGATAGCTGTGTTGCTCTCAGCTTGGTTGCTATGTATAAGCAATTGATGTTGTTGCTCTAAAAGAGGGGGTAAAGAAAGGAGGTAAGCAAGACATTCAGCATGATTACTTAATCCAGTACTCAGAAATATTTGTACTACTCTTCATTTCTCCATTTTATTTCAACCAAAACCTAATTGTCTGTCGTGATTCCTGATTTAGCAGCGTAGCCCACGTGACACATGTAGATCATGGATGAAGACAGTGCCTGGCTTTAATTCTAACCAAAAAAGATTATAAATGTCTCTTTCAAGTTGCAATTTGTTATGATTCGTAGGAGCTGGTGCTAATAGAAGGTTAAACCTCCCCTATAATTAGAAACACTCAGAAATCTGAATTAAACTTGGAGTACAGGCTTTAAGACAGCTATACCCAAAAAACTAATATCTAAAATATTTTGATTTTGCCTGATGGCTAACCAAAGAAATTTTCAGTTGATGTTAAGAAAGAATAAAGAATGGACTTTTCCCTTTTGAACATATATCAAACATATTTAACTATATCAAACATATTTTAAAAAGAACCGCAATAACAATACATTTGGTGAGTTTCAAAGTAAGTACAAAAAGACAATGAAAGTTGCCTTAATTGACGGTTAGAACCAATACTGTCTAGTGATAGGAATTTTGTACTCAGCTCTGCCACTGACTAGCTTTGTGATCTTCATTTGGCTTTTTCAGATCTCAGTTTCCCTAGGTATAATTAGGGTTATCTGTGCTTTATCACTTCAACTATTTTGAGAGCAGCAGATAAAGTGTGCCATATAAGTGCCAGGCTAATGGGATGCACTTTTACCAAGATGTAAGCTACAATAGAAACAAGAGATGACCCTGAGCTACAAAGTAGAAATTCATGTTTGCATCTGAACTTTCCCTAAATTGCAGGAGTGGAGAGAGATATGAGATGAGGAAAATGTAAATGGAAAGAACTTATTTGTGTGAAGGGAATGATGATATTAAACTATTGCAGGGCATTTTTCGATAAATCAGTCACAGCATTTAATAAAATAACTACATTCTATTTAAAGGGGAGATTTGCTAAAAGAAGAAAAAAATGTGTAATTGTGTATTTAAAACACAGTTGCTGTTATATTAATTTCCTTGGAACAAGCAGTATTAATGGTAGGTTTTTCAAAAGTGTAGGGAGGGATTTCAGCTAAAATCTTCAAGTGAATGGAAACTAAAGCAGGGACTATCTTAAGATTAAAAAAAGATTCAGATATGTATTCCCCCCCATTTTCTTCTTCTCTTTGTTTCAGGATATCTGTTGGGCTGGCTGCTTTCGTCAGATCTCGAGGTTATGAGACTTCCCAGGGGCCATAGGCTAGGTAAGGATGTAGGGCCTCTGTCAGCAGACAATCTAATAAAGGTTGAAACTTTCTTAACTGGGATTCTCTGGTCCAGCAACCTCCATGGTCCATGTTCCAGGACAAGAGAGTCCCAGCGGAGGGCTGGTGCCCGGGAGCTCTGCAAGCTGGCAAGGCAGTGGGATTTCCCAGAAGGGCTGTGGGAGCCCCACACGCAGCAGTAGGAGCCTGGCACAGAGTCTGCGGAGCTGCCTGGAGCGGCAGCAGGAACCCAACGCGCAGAGGTAGCAGGGCTCCCTCTGGAATCTGTAATGCAGACTGCCAAGACAAACTGTACTTAAGCTCCTAAGGGGTGAACTCAAACTGAATAGGTTTGATTCTAGCTCGATTCATTCAGGGGCACATCTGACTCAAGCAAGAAATGGAAATTTCCATAGACGACGGCGACATTATTTTGCCAGAATTCAGAGATATTTAGACTACTGGTCTCTAAACCCTAGGTTAGCATTCAAAGTCCTTGGGTCATGGAAGAGGAGTTGAAAGTCAGGTTACAGTGAAGGTAAGGACAGGGGAAGGGAGAATGACCTGTTTGGAGTGAGAGAAGAAAGGCAGCAGCAAGATGGTAAAAAGGGCAGAGATGGAGACCTAAAAAAGTTCAGATAAATTCAAATATGCTAATTTTGTAAGAATTGTCTGAAACATTTTAAATTTGCCTTTTTTTGTATAGTGATTAACACCTACTTTGCACATCATATCATGGTGTCCTGTATGAACTTTTAGGGCATGTCTACATAGCAGAGCTAAACTCGAAATAAGCTATGCAACTTGAGCTATGCTAATTGCATAGCTTAAGTCGAAATGGCTTATTTCGACTTTTGGCGCTGTCTACACAGCAGTTATTTAAAGATACAGCACTCTTCTCTCAACTTCCCTTACTTTGCATACAATGAGGGTTACAGGAGTCAGAGTAAGCAGTCCTCCAGCTCTACATTATTTTGACATTATGTCAAAATAACTGCTTGTGTGTAGACGCAGACTATGTTATTTCAGAATAACTGATGTTATTCCGAAATAACGCTGCTGTGGAGACATAGTCTTATGGAGATGCTGACCTATATTGCTTACTCTCTATGGTGATGTCTACAGTACAGGATAAGGTCGAATTAAGATACACAACTTCAGTTGTGTTAATTGTGTAGCTGAAGTCAAAGTACCTTTACTCGACTTTTGGTGCTGTCCACACTACAGGAAGTCGAAGGGAGAACACTCTCCCTTCATCATCCCTTACTCCTCGTGGAAGCAGGACTACCGGCATCGAGCGGAGTTCCCCTCTCAGTTAGAATTAGCATGTCTTCACTAGACTCGCTAATTCAAACCCTGGAATATCGACAACGGCAACTCCAATCTTCTCTGTAGTGTACATATACCCTAAGTTGGCAACCAGATCAGTTGGGTCCTCTACATTCCAAGCTGTGACGGGGCTAACCTGCCCCGCACTGAGCAGGAGGGAGAGGAGCCCGTTTATTGGGTAGAGCACGTCCCTCCCCCACAGCCCTACTGGGCATGCTCGAAGTGCAGCCTCACTATAAAAGACTGCCGGGCTGCTCAGTTGGGACGGACCGCCGGGGAGGAAGGAGCTCCGGCCCAAGCTGCAGGCCCGCTGCCGAACCTGCTGCCAGATTCAGAGCCGGAGGGACCGCCGCTATTGCTACTACCAGCCCTGGGGCGAGCACGCCCCCAACGCGGATGCCGGGGGGCCACCCGCTCCGCTGCAGGAGACACCCCCTGCGCTGCTGCCCCAGAGACGGGACCAGCTGACGTGGCCCCCGCCGCCAACCCAGCATCGCCAGGTGGGACCTCCGTCGGCCACAGGGCTGGGGTAGGAAGCAACCCAGGGCAAGGGGCAGGGCAAGGGGCAGAGCTTAGAATATTAAGGGCTATGAGTGTGTCTGAATTTGCAGAACTAATTGCAGGAACAGTTACGTTCTACAAGGAAAAATTTGAAAGCCAAGAGAGGAGGAAGTTTAGTCTGAGGTTGATATTGATTAGTATTTAAATTAACAATTAAGACAAATCCAAAAAAGGTGAAAAGTTTGGAAAACATCCATTATATGTATTGGCAGGTGGATGGGAACTCCATCTATTTATGCCTGTAAGGGACACTTTTCACATGTTTATCTCAAAGCATTTGCACACATTGTCAAATTGTATTATTCTTATTTTACATGAGGGGAGTCAAAGTCTCTGAAAAAGTAATTGTTTTACCTATGCCAAACAGGGAACCACTGGCAGGGTCAAGAATAGAAGAACTAAGGTTTCTTGCCGCCCATGCCTCTGCTCTAACCATGCCTCCTATGTCTAGCTTACTATTGAAATCCATACGACTGTTTCCAGTATAAAGTAGTACTTGCACTGGGTAAGGGTGGCCAGAATAGACACTACGTATTTACTAAGTGTGCAAAATATTTCCTAAAAAACTTGGCTCTATTGGGAAGGTTATTGACAGGAGCAAGAGTGATAATTTGTTTGACAGGACTTCTGACCTCAAATGCAATATGAGCAGAAAGGGCTATGTTTAGGAACACTATTCTCAGGTAAGCAACAAAAATCTAATTTGGTAATAACCTGATTCTCCAAGGTAACTGAATGGAATGAAGTATGTATATAATTCCATCAGCCTCAGAGCAATAATCAATCAATGAAATTGATGGACGATACAAAGAGAAACATTGTGAATATGGGAAATAATAATTAGTTATTGCACTAGTACTCAAACATCAGATTACCACTGGGACTACTCCATGGACCTACAGAAATGGCAGTCATGCCAGGTAAGAAACTGAAAGGCTTCTTTATGATTTCAATAGCTGCTGTTAACTTCTTCTGCCATGTTTGCTGACAGAACTGTTACGTTCATCCCTATTTTTTATATAGGATTTATCAGGTGGGGATGTGATGATATCATCTATGACCGTGAACAGGGGTGGCCCGAGTGTATAGGCCGACTTGGCTGTCTCCTAGGGCGCTGCATTAAACAGGGCGCCCAATGATGATGTCACACCATTGAGGGCTGTGGAGGCAGGGGTGCCAATCACGCATTCTGCCTGGGGCGCCAGCTGCTGGCAGCCCGCCTCAGGCCACCCCTGACCGTGAAGCCAGTTACTTGCCAGTGATAAAGGACCAGCTGATTGAAATCCTTTTATTCTTTAATTCACTATTCTTTCTGTCTTTGCAAATGTAGGCACCACCGCCCTTACTGCCAAAGGCACCAGATTTTTCAGACAACCAATCAAATCTTTCATCTCCCTCATCAAATCAAGCAGCTTGTTCACTGCTTCAGAAAGGTTGCACA